GCCTCACCTCGCCCCACCTCGCCACGCCCCGACCTCATTGAAACACATTGAATTAACCCCCGCCGGGTTTTCGCACGTTGCACGGCCAGCAGCCTGGTTGGGCTGGTCATCGCGACCCGCCTCCAGGAGAGTACTACCGACTACTCGAGCTGCCCCGCCTCCTATGTGTGTCCGCACACGGCGTGTTCTAGCGGCCGTGAATAGAGCAGGGAATAGAGCTGTCCCGACGCCACCCTTTACCCCATCACTTTCACTTCCTCCCTTACTTCGCTCTCTCTCTCTCTCTCTCTCTCTTTCCCTCCTCGCGCTCGGCCTGTCTCGCCTCCCCTCTCTCTTCCGCTCGCGACTTCACCGGAAATTACCCCCCGCTGCGGGGCGGTGTCCGCCGGGCTGCCCGTCAGCCCCGCTCAGCGATGATTAATCGGTGCGATCGGCCCGCGTGCGTATGTGCGTGCGAGCGTGCGCGCCCCGCCACGCCCCACCCCGCCCTGGCCCCGTCACGCCACACCCCGCCACGCCACGCCCCTCTCTAGTGACCAGAGAAGTCTAATGAGTTGGACGGTCCAACGCTGGTCATCGCCGTCGTGTGTGCGTTTCCGGCCCTGCTGCGCGGCGCCCCGCCCGTTTGACGTCGGACCCAGCGGCGGAGCCAAGGCCCTGTGGCAGAGAGAGAGAGAGAGAGAGAGAGAGAGAGAGAGAGAGAGCGATGGAGCTAGAACAAGCATGAGTGGCACCTCGTCCTCCGCCACTGGTTGGACCCTCGCTGCTGGACACGGTAGTTGCCACGCCACGCCGAAAACTTTCTTGTTTTTCTTGTTTGTGAAATTAGTGGATCCTGCTGCTGCTGCCTCCTGTCCCCAAGCGCCCCCCTAACCCCCCCCCCTTCCCCAGCTGCTGATGGCGCTTTAATGGCAGGCCCCCGAGAGATAAAGGCGCGTTACCGCCCCAAACTCCGCGGCGTGGCGTGGCGCGGCGCTACAAAAGAGAAATCTCAGCTGCTTTCTGCTGTCGCTGCCGCCGGGGCGGCCGGGGCCCGCGGCGCAGCAGCCAGCAGCCTCCTTGCGAATCCATTACGACTGATACCAATCTGGGCGGCGATTGCCCCGGCGAGCGCTCGCGCCGCGGCAGCAGCGGCGCAGCCCAGGGCGGCCCTGGATTTCAAGTAGGAGCGCGACTGCTGGCGGAGAGGAGAGGCGGGGGTCGCGAGGGGTGAAGCTGCTCAGATTACCCCACCCCCCATCCTGCCCCGCTCAGCTGGGGGCGTTTAGCCCCGCATTAGCGCCCCTTGCAAGGCATCTTGGCCGCTCTCGCCCTCTCTCTCTCTCCCCCAGTTTTTCTCTGTCTCTCCTTCTTCCACCCTCTCCCTGTCTCCCTCTTTGTCCGAGGAGTAGGCCCCCCGACGTCGTTGTCGGTGCACAATTTTCGCGCAGTGCTGTTAAATGGGGTTGCGTGAGGGCTCGGGGGCTGCGCCGGGGGACGGGCAGCGGGCGGGGACCGACAGATTGAAGCTCTCCTCTCCCTCTCCTCACCACGGTGAAGGGGGTCATCACCACGCCAGCGAGCTGCTGGTGTTGGCACCGGCCCACACGGAGGCCGGGCCGGGCGGGCCGCCAGGGCGAGCAGCCAGCGCTTCAGGGGCGTGCGTTGGGCGGCCCACCTCCCCGGCGGCGGCCGCAGGGGGAGGGGCTGACGTGAGGGGTTTCCGTCAAAAAGCCTCATTTCGTTTGCTGACTGACGCATGCTAATTCGCATCAAGCATAATTTGATTACACGTGCGTGCGTGAAGCAAACAATAACGTGTGGTCGCTTCGAATGTTTGTGGTGGTTTTTTTTTGTATGTGTTGTTTTTTTTTGCCAGTGAATATCGCCGTTTGTAATCCCTCGTTACAAGAGGCGACGACAGCGGGTGGCCAGCAGCCATCCTCTTGTCGGGGTGCACGCCCTCCGCCGACGACGGCGACGTCAGTCGTTCCGCGCCCTGCGCTTGCATCCGGGATTAGACGGCCATTCCGGCCGCCGCTCCTAACGGGCCCCGCGCCCGGGCCCCGCTCCCACCCCCCACTGCGTGTCGTACCGACAAAGTTGGCCACTTTGAGCTGCAAGTGTCTGCGGCCGTTTGCGTGCCATTGCGCCCTCCCCGCTCCACCTCCTCCTCGGAGGGCCCCGGAGCCGCTCAACCCTTTGCACCCCTCCAGGCCCTCCGCAGGCCCATGAGGCTGATTGGCGCCGTATTCAAAGTGGCCTGCCCGAGTTGCTCCCGGCCGCGCTGACTCGGCGCGTCCTGAGTGCGTCACACCGAGCTGCTGCAAGTGCCAACCGCGGTTCGCTCTTCTCGCACCCTTCCCCCGTGGAGGCTGAGAGAGATGGACTGCTGCTGGTGGCTTTCACCGCCCGCTGGAGTCCCTCAAGGGTTTTGTTGCAAATCGGGTCGGCCAGGAGGTTCAAACTCGGGCGGGCCTCTTTGTTATTTCGTCCCCTCTGCTTCGTCGGAGTCGCAGGCAATAAGCCCGTGGTACTTGCAAGTGGGCGGGCTGCGTCAGCTCGCCCAGGCCCGCCCCGCCCCGCCCCGCCGCGCCGCGCCACGCCCACCGCTATAAGCCTCTCATCTCTGCCTCTCGGAAGTTCCCACACCGCGGAGGGGACCCCCTGCGAGCCGGGCACCGCGCCGCGCGCCGCCGCCGTCCCGGTTGGCGCACCGGAAAGGATTAAGTCATCCTCGGTCCAACAATAAACCAACAAACGGCCATTAAATTTCCCTGCCCCGGCGCGGCTGCTGCAGTGGCGCGCGGCGCGCGGGCGGCACGGGCGGGACGGGGACGGGGTGGCATTATAAGCGTATTTGCCGCCAATATAGCTCCGCTGCCCCCCACACGTGTCTCCGTTTAGCCCCCGCCCTCCGCTCCCTCCCCTACTCACATACACACACACACACACCGTGACGGTCCCACGCGTATAATGGCGTTGCTCGTGGCTGCGCGGGCGCCGCCCGGGAGGGAAGTATGTCCAAACGCCGGATAATTTGCAATAATTATTCTTAAATTAAAAAATAAAATAGTGCAGCGCTCGTGTATACAGTTGCGTTTCGCTATCTGGTGGTGACTCCGTGACTTTCGTTGTTCTAGGTGGATCGTAACAGCCACAGATGGAGCTGTTGCCGGACGACGTCGTGGCGGCCGTGCTAAGCCTTCTCGTCGTTGAAGACCTTATGCAGTGCCGGTTGGTCTGTCGGCGTTTCCGAGACCTGTCCGGACGTTTTGACGTGTGGCGTCATCGGCAGATTTTCGAGCCCGAACTCCTTCGCCTGTCGCCGCCCTGCTGTCGCGGGCTCTACCTGATGGGCGAGGAGGTACGGCGGTGTGGCTTCCTGGCCGCGACCACTACGTGCGCCACTACCTTCCTGAACGTGTATTTGGGAGAGTCTGCTGATATCCCCATGGGTGCCCTCGTGGTCCGTAACCAGGCTGGCAGAGGGCGTCTCAGGAGTCTGAGCCTTAGTCTGGCCGGTGGGACGTATAAGAGTCCACATGCTAGCTCTGCAGATCTTTTTGAAATCTACTCAGTCCTTCTGGGCATAAATGGTCTGCTGGAGCTCGATCTGAAAGACGTTTGCGTGCTTCCCAGGGTCGCAATGCAGCTGACCGGTCGCTCAGACTGGCCCGTTGTGGCGCCCTCCCTGCAGAAGCTAGAGTACCGGACGTTTCAAGTTACGCCGATTTTTGAGCTGCTGTTGCGGAGGCACGCTCCCACCCTGCGAGAAGTCCACGTCACTGGCATTCACCCTTCGGTGGATGATGTGTCTGGATTGCTGATGAACCTCACCCACCTCCGTGAGCTGACGTGCCCGCTCCTGGAGGGCATGTATCAGCTGCTGCAATGCCGCTCGCTGAGAGTCCTAAGGATCGTCACAGTCTGGGATAAAGCCAAGAGCAGCAGCAATCGCGCCCTGTGTGCTGCCCGATTCCTCTTGCGCTGCGCTACCTACTTGAGGCGAGTGATTTTGGACCACAGCATGAATAACGGAGACGAGGGAGTAGACCTGGTCCGGGCGTTGGGTGAATCTGGCGTCTCTGAGGTTACTTGTCTTGAAATCGACACTGTTCCCGTAAGTGCTGTTTACAATAAGTTGTTAAAATAAACAAAACACAAAAACTTACCGGCCTGTTTTTCTTGGTACTGTACTGAACTATTTTTTAATTCTTTGTATATAGATCTATGCGGATAAAATTTGGGAGCACATCATTAGCACTCTGCCAAAACTTCCCTGCGTCGAGAAGCTGGTCTTCCATAGCCGAGGCTCATCCTTCATGATCGACTGGCTCAGCGCTATTCGCCCAGAGGTTGCACCGAAACTTCGTCAGTTGCACATATGTGGTCCAAGACAGTGTGTATGCTGTAGTAAGGAAGAGATCATCCGAGTGCTGGAGCTGAACCGACAGATGCGACTGATCATCCCTCATCTATATCGTCCGAAATGTAGCAGTGGCTGTGGCATGTGCACTGATGTTTCCCCCTTGACGTACTCGACGGTCACTTTAGGCATTCGACATGTTCCCAAAGTATGGCCAAATGTACCTTTAGTAAAACGCGAGTAAAAAGGAACGCATGACCTTTCATGTGAAGTAAACACAGCTGTGATTATTGTTTTGCTCCCTCTTGCAATTTAAACTTGTAGACTGCTGTGTAACTGTGTCAAATGTTTTGATTTGAAGGAAGTCTTGCTACTAAATACTAGAAGACACACATATGATTTGTATTGAACTACCTAGTTCCCTCATCTTCTTTTGTAATGATTCGTGTTGGTTTTTATTGAGGTACACGTAAGATAACATGACATCCGACAGTAAGTACATCTACGATGGTCCGCATGCAGCTCCGACGAATGATGCACCAAACACGTCCCTGTGTGCCTGGTGTAATTTTTTCGGCGTTTGCAGTAATTCAGATTTGATGCCGCGGGTATGAAATCACTTGATGCGGCCGCCGCTGCTCCCACGGCCGGGCGTCGCTAAGCAAATAGCGCCCTGATTTGTCTCGCCCGCGTCGCGACGCTCTACGCTCCCCCTCTCCGCCACCCCTCCCCCACCCTCCCCCTGAATTGACTACGCTGCTTTCGTTCCATGTATGCCGGTAAATCTTAACGCGGTGGTGTTCGGCGCAGGGCACTCGGCGAGTCGTGCGCGTGCTTTCTCACCGCTCGCAAATTTTCTTTAATTTTATGTTTTTGCCCTCTTATTTTTCGGAGGGGCTGGTGGATGGCGGACTAACTGATCAAGCGATCAAGCCATAACTGATGAATAAACACCACTTGCTGCAAAGGGACCTCGAAAAGGATTCATACTTTATGAGAGGTCAGGTGGTTCACATTGACATTCGTTCACATATTATGTCACGTTAAGTGTGGCGTGATGACGACCCATATCAACGTGGTTCCCAATAACATGGGATACGCCCGCCGCACACAACGTGTTAAAGTGTGCCCTTTATATCAATTCAGGTGCAACATGAAGCTTCTGAGCCCTGCGTTGAGTCATAGATTCACGAATGTTAGTAAACCTAGATCAAAATACACCATCGATAAAAATCGCAGAAACGGGATGCCTCGTCCTCTTAGAGATGAGCGAACATGTTCGCAGTCGAACGAACTCGAACGAACAGCGAACTGTTCGTGTTCGTTCGTCCTTGAACACAGGGT